CAAGGCAAGGCCTCCACTACTGAGCTATACTGCCAGCCCCACACTGTCAGCTTGGCTTTTGTCTTCTTGTTGTGTAGTTTTTTGGGGTTTTTTTGAGACAGGGCCTCACTCTGTAGTTCAGGCTGGCCTCCGAGTCACACTGAACCTCCTGCTGCAGCCCTCTGAGTGCTGGACCACAGGCGTGCGCCACCCCGCCTGGCCAGACTGTCAGCTCTGAATGGCAGCAACCGGTGCAGCTGAGCTGTGGCCTAGCGAAGAGCGTCCCGTGTTAGGCCACACGCACATAAATGTCGTACGCACCAGCGTAGCATTAATGTGTTAACACTGATTTATTATGTATGTATGCATCATTTTTTGTTGGTACTGGGGATTGAACCTAGGGTCTCCCACATGCTGGAGAAGCGCTCTCCCGCTGAGCTACACCCCCAAGCTGCTTAGTTCTGCAGGGCTGGAGGCGGAGCCTCGCCATCGTGCGTGCGTGCGGGCGGGCGGAGTGCGTGTTCCCTCGCAGAGCCATACCCTAGCGCCCCATCTATTGCTAACCCAAATGTGCTTTTTCTTAATATAAATTGAAACTCAATGTGTTGAATAAAAAAGAGCACTACGGACGGCAGTACCTGCCGATAACTTGGGGATTGGACAGGCTGAGGCAGATCATCGCTGCTACTTTATTTATTTATTTATTTATTTATATTTATTTATTTATTTAGGCGGAACCAGGGATTTAACTCAGGCCCTTGTGCTTGCCAGAGAAGCGCTTATTCTACTGAGCCATCTCCCCGGCCCTCGTGACTGTTAGTTTACAGCTTGTGCTACATTGTAAGAACCTATCTCAAAAACAAAAGGAAAACAAAAATGTATTTGTGTGTGTGTTTGTGTGTGTGTGCCGGGGATTGAACCCAGGGCCTTTGCACTGAGCAACATCCTCAACCTTGACATTTTTTTTTTTTCAAAATCATATTTATGGGCCGGTGAGATGGCTCAGTGGAATAAGCGCTTCCCAGGCAAGCTCAAGGGCCTGAGTTCAATCCCCGGTTCCAGAAAAAAAAAATATATATATTTATTTGTTTTTTTCATTTTGAATCATGGTCTCACTTTGTAGTCCAGGATGGCCTGGAACTCCCAGCGATCCTCCTGCCTCTGCCTCCTAAATAGCTGGGATTGCAGGCGCCGGCGCATACAGGCTGTGACAGTGCTAGCGCATTTGCCCGGTGTAGGCAAGGCTCTGAGTTACAGTCCTGCGCTGCGGTAGCATTTACTCATTAATCTTTTTGGTTTTAGTTTTGGCGGGACTCCTGTAGGACAGAGCCCTGATCTTGCACATGTGAGGCAAGCACTGTCGCAGAGCTACATCCTGAGCCTTTTTCGGTTTCATTTTGAGTCAAAGTCTCACTAAATTGCTGAGGCTGGCTTGGAACTTGTGATCTTTCTACTGCAGGTTCCCAAATAGTTGGGAATAAAGCTGTGTGTTACCAGGCTTGCTATTTATTAATATTTCTAATATTATTAACTATTATTGTTATTATCATTGCAAGCACTGATTTTGTTTTTTGAGACAGGGTCTCGCCTTGCAGCTCAGGCTGGCCTTGAACTCACGTTAGCCCAGGTTGGCTTCGAAATCCTGGTAATCTTTTTTTTTTTTTTTTTTTTTGGCGGAACCGGGGATTGAACTCAGGCCCTTGCGCTTGCCAGGGAAGCGCTTATTCCACTGAGCCATCTCCCCAGCCCCAAAATTATACTCTTTTTTTTTTTTTTCTTGGTAGAACGGGAGATTGAACTTTGGTCCTTGCACTTGCCAGGCAAGTGCTTATTCCAGTGAGCCATCTCCCTGGCCCCCTGGTAATCTTGGGAAGCTGAGATGACACGTGTAGCCACTATGCCTGGCTTGTAAGAACTCATTTCTAACTAGGAAATCAAGAAATGTATTAGCTTTTATTTTTTATTTCTTTGTAATTTTTAAAAATTGTCAGCATAGGCTAAAATTTTAAATAGCTCCTCAGGGAACGCTGTAAAAAGCTGGGCCTTTCTTACCTACCTTTCGTGTCCTTCAGCTCTCCTCCCTAGGGGTAACAGCTGTGACGAGCTCTCTCATGCCTTTCCCGAAGGTGGCTCGTGAAGCCACAGGCAAATGTGTGTGTATTTATACAGCCCTTAAAAAATACACTCAGAAGTGGAGAAAAACAGCCCACAGGGTGCGTTTGTCAATGGAGTGTGTTGAAATAAATCCGTTTTGCATCAGGGCACACAAGACAATACTGCATTTTTATTTTCATGTTATTTTGTGCCAAGGATTCAACCAGGGGCTTCATACGTGGTGAGCACAGAGTCTCTACTGTTGAGCTCTATCTGCATCCACATATTTATTTCTTTATTACGTTTTTGAGTCAGGGTCTTGCTGCATAGCACAGACTGACCTTGAGCTCACAGCAATCCTCTGGCTTTAGTCCAGGTGCTGGGATTACAAGTGTGTGCCACCACATCTGGCTGCAGCCTCCTTTTTAATTAGTTTTGCTGGTGCTGGGGATGGAACCTGGTGCCTCGTGGATGCTTGGCAAGCACTCTAGCCCTGAGCTCCATCCTCACGATTTCTTAAAATTTTTCTTTTGTTGCATCTCTCTGAGCAGCCCAGGCTGGTCTTGAACTTGTCATTCTCCTGCCTCAGCCTCATAAGCAGCTGAGATTACAGGTGCACCCTACCATGTCTGGCTTCATTTTTAAATTTTAAAAATATTTATTTATTTATTTGGTACAGGGTCTCACTACCCTGTGAGCTCAGACTCAGTGATCATCCTGCCTCAGCCTCCCGAGCACTGGGATTACAGGCATGCACCACCATGCCCGGTTTCGTTGGCTGGCCCAGCGCACCCAGGGTTCAGGGGCTGGTGCGACATGCGGTACTGGGGATCAAACTGGGTCCTTGTGCTTGCCAGGCAGGCACTAAGGCTGCTGAGCTATCTCCCCAGCCTCTGCTCTTATCAGGACATTCAGGGCTTTACTCCAATTTTTTTTCTTGTTGCATAGAGACACTCCTAGGTAGAATATACATAAAGAAGAGGGTAAGCAGCCACTCCCTGCTTTTTATTGGTTCCATCGCAAGGCGCTGTGCAGCTTTCATTTTTGTAGGTTGATTTATTGTTGAGGTAGAACATGTGCACACATGCTATGAAAAATCAAGAAGTACAAAGGATGCCCGGAGGGGAAGCAGAGCAGGCTTTCTCCCATTGCTCTCATCGCTTGGTTTCTCTTCCAGGAACTGCAGCAACTTCTCCTTCCTTCTTTTTTTCTTTTTTGTGGTACCAGGGATCACTCCGCTTGCCAGGCGGGCGCTTAATCTGCTGAGCCATCTCTCCAGCACTCCTTCCTCCTTTTTTCTGGGTATTCTGTGTGGAGCATCCCAGCTCTGTGGGGAACAGGAGTTTCATCTGGTTGTCTGATAATATACATGTGTTTTTTGAGAAGGGGTTTTGCTGTGTAGTTCACACTGGCCTTGAACTCATTATGCAGCCCAGGCTGGCCTCCAATTTACCTCAATCCTGCCTCAGTTTCCTGAGTGCTGGGATTACAGGCGTGTGTCACCACGCCCCACCTGATGACACATGTGCACCCCCAACCTGTCTGCAGCCCCGTAGGTGATTAAGTGGCAAGTAGAGATGCAGACAGATTAGGGATACACTTGTACAAATGGTAGGCTTTTCTTTCCCCTGGTGCCAGAGATGGAACCCAGGGCCTCACGCATGCTGGGCTAGCGCTCCAGCACTGAGCCGCACCCCAGCCCCTGGCAACTTCTTTCTTCCTTCTTTTTTTCTTTCTTCCCTTTTTTTTTTTTGGAGGTGCTAAGGATAATACTTAGGGGTGCTCTACCACTAAGCCAGATCTCTATTTATTTATGACACGGACTCATAAGTTGCCATCCGTGGCAGGACTCAGAATTGTGATCCTGCCTCAGCCTCCCTCAGCCCGGCCTGTGCAGCTGGCCGGGCTCTCTTCATATATATGTATTTTTGCTGGCGTATGTTTTGGGGAGTTGGCACAAGTGTATGCTAAGCCTTGATCACTTTAGCTCCCTCTCTCCTTGCCTTACTCTCTCCACCCTGCCCCCATCTCCAGAACATCTGCCTCCCGTGTCCTCCCGCCTCTCCTCTATTTCACTCTTTTATTTATACACTGACCGTCTCAAGGAAGAAGCCCCACGGAATGGTCAGCTCGCTCTGCCTGTCTTATCCAGTCAACATGCTGGGCTTAGATCCTCCTGCCTTGGCTCCACCCTCGGGCTGAATACAATTCCACTGTGTGTCTAGAGCACCCGTTCTTTATCCATTTCTCTGTGGTGGGTTTGATTGGTACTGAGAGTAGAATCCAGACACTTCTACATCCCCAGAGGCTTTTTTATTTTTTATTTTGAGACTGGGTCCCTCAGAGCCGCTGAGTTGCCCAGACTAGGTTCAAATGTTAGATCCTCCTGCCTCAGCCTCTCAGAGACAGGCCTGCCCTATCATACCCGGCTTGAATTCTGGATCTTATCAAGGCAGAACAATCCTGTCTTCGGAACAGGTTGTGGCACGCTTTAGGGACTGATCTGTTGAAAGGGCACCCAGTAGACCCCTCATGGTTGTTTACTGTGTTGATACATAGAAGGTGCTTCGAGATTCTTTGTTAAATAAATAAAGGCAACCCCGTGCTTGCCTCTTATTCTGGATAAACCGAGTCTATCCAGCACTGGTTGAGGCCACCTGGATAGCTGGGGAGCCGTGACGTCATGGGGAAGCGTGACGTTATACGCCGGCTAGTTCTCACGAGTGGGGGCTGGGAGGGGCTGGGCAAAGTGGTGTGTGGGGGGGCGGACAAAGGGGCCCTGCGCACCGCCCCCGTCGGCCCCGCGCGCCCCCGCCGGCCTGCCGGGCCACATCTGGAATTCATGCAGTCGTTGCCGGAAAGGGGAGGAGAGGAGGGCGGGGCAGGCGGAGGGGGGGCCGAGGCGTCGGCTTCCCCGCCCCTTCTGTCCCTGTCCTCAAACCCGGGACGCAGCCGAGCCCTGGACGTAGCACCAGCCCAGCCGCGGCGGCCCGGGAAACGCAGACGCGGTGGCCCCTCCTGCCCGGGCGGGGACCCGGGCCGGCTTAGCCAGGTGAGCGCGTTGGGGGATCGGCCAGGGCGGGGCTCTGAGGTTGCGGGGTCTGAGCTGCAGCGCCGGGGTGCGGACGTCCAGGGGACTGGGACGCAGCGGGGCCATGGCCCGCGTCGCTGCTGCACGGAGTGGGTGGCCACCGAGTGTCCCCTTCACGGCTCCAGGCGGCCCCAAGCGACTCGGCCGCGAACTCCTAGACTGAGCTCCCCGCCTTCCCCGGGCAGGAAGTTGGCGCCGAAGACGAGGCGGAATCTGAGTGCTTTCGACGCTGAAGACTCAGGGAGGCGGGACGTGGATCGCCAAGACCCGGTTTAGGGGGGTGGGCTTGGGGGAGAGGTGCTGCGCCCCGCGCCAGGATGTGCCGGGTCGATCCTGGGGCGTAAAGATGTACTACTGCGCATTGCAACACAAAGTCAAGCGTGAGACCCCCGAGCAGGGCAGACTTCACCGTCTGCGTCCCTAGCTTCGTGCCTCAGTTTCCCCGAGTTGTTGGTCTCGTCCAGTTACTCCCGCTGAGGCATGGCTTTGTTCTGGAAGGAGACAAGAGTGACGCCGTGGCTCAGGCTTCCTTTCGTTGCCCTCCAGCCCTGGGATGGCGCGTGGGGGAGGCACGCGTGGCGTCGCACACTGTAGAGTCGCGGGCCGGGCCGAACCTCGCCCCCTCCTCCGGCACGAGTTGACTCACCCGGGGATTTCCACCCCTCCCCCGCCTCTGCCCTTGTCAGGCAGATGCCACTTGCTGAGCCCACGGTGCCCCCCGTGGCGCCAGACGGGCTTTGGCACGTGGGGGTGTAACTGTTGCAGCTGGGGCCCCTCCCCTCCCCTGTTCTGGTCCCTGGGAATCTGGAGGCGGAGTCCCGTGGCGGGTTCCACAGGAGTTGGCCACCCTTACTCGACATTGTGGGGGTCTTGTGCGTGTGACGGTCTCGGGGCTCGGAGGCGCCACCCCAACGCGAGTGTGGATACCGCGCATTCTTCGGCCTGATAAGGAGGCTGAGAGTGCTGCCCGTGCGGGGTGGGGCGGGTTCTGCCACGGTCTCCATGGAGACGGGCGGGCTGTGCTAGGCAGTGCTGCCAGGGCAATAAGGCATCCCTGGACTCTTTGCTCTTTGGGCTTGGAGTGCACTGAAGAGCCTGCCCCTAGGGTCTCCTTGGCTGGATCATTCATTCATTCATTCATTCATTGGTTCATTCATCTCTGCCCCCTCTACACACTCTGAGTGTCTTTTTTTGCATCAGGCATCCTTGAAAGGATTGAGATTGAACTTGGTCATTGGCCGGCAGCAGTTTACATCATACAGTGGAGAGGCAGAGGGAAGACAAGATAAGTTCTTGATAGTGACAAGTGCCGTGTAGATAAACCACTATGCTGTAAGAGAAAGAGTCTGAGGAGGGTGGTGCTGGAAGCTGGTGGTCCGGAGGCCCTTCTGGGAAGTGACCTTTATATAATAAACTGACCAGAAGAGAGACAGTCATTAAAGGCTTTGGGAGGAGGATGGAGCAGGTGGAGGAGCAGCAGGGGGCCAAGGCACCGAGGTAGGGATCTGGGTGGCTTTTAGGAAGTCAGTGGGGTCAGAGTAGCCTGCCCCCTGGGGAGGTGAGTGGGTAGGAGCCATATCACAGGGGACACAGAGAACCATGGAAGGTGGTGGAGCTGGGAAGTGACTCGCAGGGAGTTCCAAGTTTAAAAGCCCCCCCATTGAGAATGTGTGTGTGTGTGTGTGTGTGTGTGTGTGTGTGTGTGTGTGAATAGTCAGTGAAAAACCAAAAGAAAAATAAGTGTGGATAGAGCTAGTCTTGGCAAGGGACAGTAGGACAAGTGGGAACTGTGACCAGTGAGAACAGTGACCACAAAGTCTGCCTGTCTGCAGCAGGGAGGGAGGAGAGGTGGGGGAAGCCTTCCTCCTGAGCCTTCCCTTCAGTTAACCTCCCCAGAACTATGTTGTCTGAGTCTTCTCATCCCTCCAAGCCCTGTCACTTGGCCTCACCTTCCATTTCAGGCCTGGCCATTCTGTCCCTTTTGAGTCTTTTTTTTTTTTTTTTTTTTTATTTGTACTGTGTAGATACATTTATTTTATTTTTTTCTCTGACAAAACTAAGCAAAAAAGGGGGATACAACCCATACTTTTTTTTTTTTTTTTTTTTTTTGTAGGCAGGGATTCACCATGCAGTTCATGCCGATAGCCAATAGCCAGGGCTGGGCTGGAACTTGCCGTTCTCCTGCCGCAGCCTCCTGAGTGCAACTCCACTCCTGGCTTCCTGAACCTTTGAGTGGAAGCCAGCACCGTCTGGGCAAGTGAGCAGGAGTCTGCTGTGGGAGAAGCCAGGCCTCAGAGTGTTAAAGCTGACCGGGCAGCTCTCTGACTCTGTGAAGGGAGCTGCTTCTGCCAGCTTGAAGCCCGGGCCCTGCTTCCTCGGTGGGAACCTTTAACCTGCCCAAGCCCCTGCCTTGATAAAGTTCTCCTAGGGAAGATGAGACTAGACTAGTGTGGTCCTCAGTTTCCCCTTCTGGAACCAAGAGAGCTGCCCTCCTGCTACTAATTGCTTAGGTTCCTGGGTCTCTTTACGAAAGAATACCCACTTTCTTGCCTGGTCCCTCAGGGGTGCAGGCAGAGCACATTTCTTATTTCTCCAGGAAGCCGCAGTAAATCTTTCCCGTTCCCGCAGCCAAACTGGAGAGGGGCGGTGACCCCCTCATGAGTTAAGAGGGGGCGGCGGCGGTGAGACAAACCCTGGGCTTTTTGCCCACCAGCTAAATGTGCTTCCCAGGCCTGAAAAGGGACCTGGACGCTCAGGATTCAGGCCAGCGTGGGGGCGTCTGATGGGGTGACCCAGCGGTCACGCAGCGGTTCAGCCTGCCCCTCAGGGACTGAATCCACGCAGCTCTAACTCTCAGATGAAAAAAAAAAAAAAAAAAAAAAAAAAAAAAAAACCAAAACGCTGAGCGCCATCACTTATAAACAGGGAGGGTGGGACGAGTCAGAGAGCTCCCCCCAACTGGACCAATCAAAGCCTAAGGACAGAAAGCTCTAGCCAATAGGCAAATCGCTCAGTGGTCTGGTATTGAAAATCTAGCCAATCGGAGCGGATGCTGTTTCCGGGCCCGACGGCCAGTTTGTTAAGGTCGAGCCAACCTGAGATCGGCTGCAGCGGGCAGAGGGCATCGGGTTGCCCGGGGCCCTGTCCGGCAGTGGAACAAGGGGCCTCTGTGTGGCGATCAGGGCGGGGCAGCTGTCCCCAAGGACACGCACAAGCTCTTCTCTGTTCCCAAACTAGGACGGATGTCCCTCCGCCCAGAGGGAGCAGCTGCCTCTTTGGGGATAGAGGGGGGCGTCCGGGAATTGAGATGACTGGGTGACCCCGGAAGCCCCATCACTCCTAGGCTCACCCTAAGAACCGGCCCAACCAGCCTTTTCTAGACGGTTGCTTCGGGCTCACACGTGGTCCTTGTCAGGCGCGCTTCCAGGGACTCCCCATCTTTTGGCCAGTTAGCTAAGGCCTGGAGCAGCCTCCCTGCACCCCACAAGCCGGCTTCTCTGAGACCCTCATCTCCTCGCTGGCCCTGGTGTATGCCCCTCATTTACCCGGCCCAAGGAATCCTCCTGCCGTTTTACCCTCTGCTGTTTTCCTTGGGAGGGGGTGTGGGTGACTCAGGTTTCCATGGAAGCGGGTGCCCTGCTCCCTCCCAGCGGGCTCATGTGACTTCAGCAGCTGCTGCATCTCCCCAGCCAGGACCTCCCAGATGGGTCTCTGGTGAGCCCCCATCCCCACTACCCCCAGCCAGCCTTCCCCACACCGGATGTGACTAGGACTCCACCCTGTTTGTTCCAGGGGCCTCACACATCTGGATTTCATCCTGGCCAGGGAGGGGGTGCCAGCGCCCTGCCCACCCCGAGGGACCCTCTGGCCCAGGGCAGAGTTAGATGGCGTTGATGAGAACAAGCTGTTAGGAGTCTCTCTTGGTTGAGTCAGCCCCCTTTCCCAAAAGGTTGGGTGGAGGACACCCAGCCCAGGGCCCTGTGCGCCTACGGTAGAGGAAAAAGAAGAATGTTAGCTAATACTTGCTATGTGTAAGCATTCTCCATGAATTCTTTTGCTTATAAAAATGGAGTCTTGCTATGTTGCCCCGGGCTCAGGCAATCTTCCTTAGTCTCCCAGGCATTAGGGTTACAGGGTTCTGGTTTCATGCATCTTTTCAAAGGTTGTTTTTGGTCAGGCATGGTGGCGCTGGCCTGTGATCTCAGCAGCATGCGGAGACTGAGGCAGGAGGATCACTGGGAGCTTGAGGCCAGCCTGGGTTACAGAGTGGGACCCAGTCTCAACACCCTCACCCCATAGTTTGTCACTATTCTGAAGGAAGCTTTCTTGTATGCATTGCACAGATGAGGGTGCTGAGGCCAGAGGCTGGGCGTAGAGAGCCTTGCCCAGAGGGTCAGAATGGGGTGGGGACGGCTCCAGCTATACCATCTCTCAGCCCTGTGTCCTTGAAGATAGTCTGATGCTGGGAGGCTAAACCCCAGGGCGCCCTGGCGTCTCCCCATACTCTTATCTTAAGAACGCCCAGGGCCTCCAGGCTTCTACCCAGCCTGCAGTGTGCCAGTGGGTGGTAGTGAACTGGGCAGTGTGCTATCAGTGGCAAGGATCTCGCCGACCTAGGTCACAGGCCTGCGTGAGGCCTGAGGCTTCTATGTGCTGGAGAGAGGAGATGGCTGCTCCGGGCTGTTGCAAGGTTTTCCGTCAGAGCAGGAGATGTGGAGGGAGGGTGCCTGTCTGCTCCTTTGAAACAAGGCTTTGAAGGAGTATCTCTCAGGGGCTGCGGAGGCAGTGTAGCTAGTCTCACCGGCCCTACTACTTTCTGGAGACTTCGGAGAGCATATGGACATCCCTGGTGTCCCAGGTGTAAAGCAGGACGGGTGCTGCATGCCTGGAATCCCAGCACTCTGGAAGGCTGATGCACCGGGATTCCAGATGCCAGCCCAGTTTGGGGATTTCAGTAAGGGTCTTACAGGGTTTCACTACACAGACTAGACTCCTAGTGATCCGCCTGTTTTCAGCCTTCCAAGCCCTGAGATTACAGGTGTGCAACACCACGCCCAGTCTGTCTCAGTTGCAGTACTCCCCGGGGCAGGGCCGGCAGGGCATGTGGTGCCAGGGATCGAACCCCATCCCTGCACCTGCCTAACAGTTTGGGGGAATTTAGCAAGACTGCCTCAAAATAAATTACAAGGGCTGGGTTGGGATATAGTTCGGTCTTGGGTTCAATCCCCATGGCCAAGAGAAGAACTGATGATAAATCAATTTAGTGTGGCCACTTGGGGAGGAGTCCCAGAGCAAGACCCTTTCGTTTTCTTTTTTTGGGGGGTTGGTCTCTCTATGTAGCTGACAGAGGCCTCAAACTCCCAGCAGTCCTCCCACCTCCGGCTCCTTAATGCTGGGATTACAGGCAAGCACCCAGATTCTGCCCAGCACAGAACCAGAATTTGAACCACCGTGTCGGCTGGCAGCAGCTACCCATGGCTCTGACCTACCTGTCTGTCTGTCTGTCTGTCTGTCTGCCCCTGCCCTGTACAGTGTGACAGCTTCATGGCCCCGGCTGGCCACTGAGCCCCACCATGGGTGCTTTCTACTCTGAGTACCTCAACTCCAACAAGGTCTGGGAGCACTACAATTACACCAAGGAGACTCTGGATGTGCAGCAGACGACGTCCCGCCAGGTGGCCTCCGCCTTCATCATCATCCTGTGCTGTGCCATCGTGGCGGAAAACCTGCTGGTGCTTATCGCCGTGGGCCGGAACAGCAAGCTCCACTCAGCCATGTACCTCTTCCTGGGCAACCTGGCTGCGTCTGACCTCCTGGCGGGCATGGCCTTCATTGCCAACACCGTGTTCTCGGGCCCTTTCACTCTGAAGCTGACGCCAGTGGAATGGTTTGCTCGCGAGGGCTCGGCTTTCATCACGCTGTCTGCCTCTGTCTTCAGCCTCCTGGCCATCGCCATCGAGCGGCACGTGGCCATAGCCAAGGTCAAGCTGTATGGCAGTGACAAGAGCTGCCGCATGCTGCTGCTCATCGGGGCCTCGTGGGTCATCTCTCTGGTCCTTGGTGGCCTCCCCATCTTGGGCTGGAACTGCCTGGGCCACCTGGAGACCTGCTCCACCGTCCTGCCGCTCTACGCCAAGCAGTATGTGCTGTGCGTGGTGACCATCTTTTCCGTCATCCTGTTGGCCATTGTCGCCTTGTACGTCCGCATCTACTGCGTGGTCCGCTCGAGCCACGCGGATCTGGCAGGCCCTCAGACGCTGGCGCTGCTCAAGACCGTAACCATCGTGCTGGGCGTCTTCATCGTCTGCTGGCTGCCAGCCTTTAGCATCCTGCTCTTAGACTATGCATGTCCCGTCCGGTCCTGTCCCATTCTCTACAAAGCCCACTACTTCTTTGCCTTTGCCACCCTTAACTCATTGCTGAACCCTGTTATTTACACGTGGCGGAGCCGGGACCTGCGGCGGGAGGTGCTGCGGCCGCTGCAGTGCTGGCAGAGGGCGGCCAGGGGGGCGGGACGACGGGACAGGACCCCAGGCCACCGCCTCCTGCCCCTTCGCAACTCCAGCTCTCTGGAGAGGGGCACACATATGCCCATGTCACCCACATTTCTGGAGGATAACACAGTGGTCTGAAGGGAGGTGCCGGGTCACAAAGCTGCCAACAGAGGGACTGGTGACCTCAGACAGAGGTTAGGGGTTGCCAAGCAAGATGCCCCTACCCTAGACCTTGGGATCCGAAGATGGTCCACAGCCGGGGGAGCTGACAAGGGCATGGAGTAGCCAGATGGCGGGGCTGCTGTGCAGTGCTAGAGGCCAGTGTGGTGACCCAAGGGACTTTTAAAAGACTAGGGTGACAGCAAGTGGGAGGTCAGGGTAGGAGCAGCTTACCACCAGGTACAACTGTGTGCTTGTGTGTGCCTGCGTGTGGGATGGGGCCTTGAACCCAGGGCCTCCACACTGAGCTACATCTCCATCTCTCTCCTCACCCCTGACTTTGTTGGGTTAAGGGTCTGGGTAAGCAGCTCAGGCTGGCCTCCGTGTCTTGGTACTCCTCCTGCCTCAGCTTCCGAGTGCTGGGGTTCCAGGCATGAGCCACCGTGCCCAGCTGCAGCGCTCTTACGTTTTGAGACAAGGTCACTGAGTTGCTTGGGCTGGGCTTGCACTTGTGATCCTCCTGCCTCAGCCTCTCTGAGTGCTGGGATGACGGGCATGCGCCACCACGCTCAACCCTGATGTTAACACTTTCCTGTCTGAACCTCCAACCTGTCTCCAGCTCCTCTGTGTGAATGTATCATTCTTGCCACCTCCTGTGGACACTCTTAGGCCACTTCTTTGGATCCACCATTCCTGGGGCTGGAGGCTCCCTCTGTGCCCTTCCCAGGCGCAATCCACAGCTTCCCCAAACATTGCCAGCCTACTCTTTGGCGACTTCTTCCCTTTTCTCTCATCTGCCAGGAAAGGAAGTCGTGACGTAGAGATGAGGAGGGGAGGAGGGCCCGGCCCATGTCCACTCTTGAACCTCATTGGCCAGTTGCACTACTTGAGACTCAGAAAAGTCACCCAGGGCTGGAAAAGTTTGGGGTGCTATGGAGCCTCCATGGGACAGGATGAAACAGGAGAAAATTCTGAGGGAGATTTGGTCTCTTCTGTCCACTTCTATCCAAGAAACCACTCTCCAAGCTACTTCACCCTGCACATCCCCAAAACCTGAGCCCCAGGTTGCCCTAAGGAAGGGCAGCCCCAAGCTGCATGGGGCTGGGGTGACCCCTCACCTGCCCCCAAGGAAGGGCCATTACGGTACAAAGTATATTTATGTGTGTGTGTTGCGCGCGCGTGCGCGCAAATCCAGGGTGTGTGCATGCCCTCCCTGCACCCCAAGCCCCCGAGTGGATGCTGTGCTGTGTCCCTGTGTTCCTGCCCGTATTGACGCTGCCTGGGAGCTTCAGACCCTGCCCGGACCCCTTTGGGGTCGATGGCTCATCTCGTGGGCAGGGAAACCTCACTCCTCACAGCAATGTCTTGTGAATGCCGAGGCTGAGGGCAGGGGAGTCTGGGAGCCAGTCAGGAGCCAGTCAGGGCCCTGTACCCCTCAACAGCTCCCCAGACCACCCCAAGCCCAAGTCCCAGACCTGAGCCAATAAACGGTTCAATTTCTCTCCGTGTTGGTTGTGTCAATGGGGCTGAAGGTCGCTCTGCCCCCTTTCTGTGCCCCTGGCTGCCTCAGCCCTGCCAGGGCGGGCGCTGCCCTGAGCGCAGGGCTCCATCCCTGGCCCATTTTTATTTTGTATTTTGAAGCAGGGCCTTGCTTAGTCACTGAGTGGCCCAGGAGGGGCTCCAAGCTGCCCCCCTCCTGCCTCTGCCTCCCAGGCACTGGGATGAGGACCGTGCACAGCCACACCTGGCTTTGAATGGCTGCTGAGAAAGCAGGACTCAACCTAAAGCCCTTTTCCTTTGGGCAGCTGCCAACATTGTCTGGATCCTCAGAGGGGTTTCGTGAGGCCTGTAGTGTTTCTGCTTTCTTTTGAAGGCCTACATGGTGGAGGCCTTGGATTTGATATCCCTGGTATCACAAAAAAATAAGGCCTCTCAGGAAGTAGAGAAATTATAAACTAACAGAGATACGGTTCAGAGAGGTTAAGCAAGGTGTTCAGGGTCACACAGCCTTTGGTCAGGAAAGCCTGACTTGAACCCAGCAGGCTGACTGCTGCTCCAAAGAAGCCCCCAATCTCCCTCTCTGCCATGGCGAGAGTAGCACAAACCTTAAACAGAACCAGAAGAAACCCTATGTAATTCAGGCTGGCCTCAGACTCAAGAGACCCTCTTGCCTCAGCCTCCTGAGGGCTGAGATTACAGATGCACACCTCCACACCTGCCCAGTGGCTCTTTTGAAGACAGGTCTACAACTTTGATGGGGGAATTCCAGGCCCTCAAAGTGGGGCTCCACCCACCAAAACCCACTCAGAAGGACAGAGGGTGAGAAAGGAGGTGAAGGCAGACGGAGGCCTAGGCCTGCAGCCCTCAGTGGAATTCCCCTCCTGAGCCCTCACTGGATTGGGGCAAGTGGGGTTGGGGAAGACCAGAGTCAGCAAACTTTCCCCAAATACCCACATGCTTCCTCCATGTCTTCCCTTATTTATTTAACTATACTTTAATTTTGTTTTGGTTGAGATAGGGTTTTGCTTTGTAGCCCAGGCTGGCCTCAAACTCTAAGCCATCCTCCTGCCTCAGCCTCCCAAGTGCTGGGAGGACAGTTGTGTGCCACCATGCCTGACACATATGATAGCTGGCCTTCAAATCAAACTCCTCCTGCCTCAGCCTCTCAGAGTGCTGGGATTAGAGGCCTGGACCACAAGACCCCGCTCGTAGCAGAGTTCCTTCCTACCACGCTTGAGGCCCAGGGTTCAATGCCCGGTACTGCAAAAAAAAAAAAAAAAAAAAGAAAAAAAAAGAAAAAAGAAAAGAAGGTAAGAGAAAAAAGCAATCAAAGTAAACTAAGGGGAAAACAAAATAGGGAAAACAGCACCAACGCAAGGGTGCGGGTGGTATCATAGATCGTGAGGCACAGAAAAATCCTGTAACAAGTGGCCCAGAGTCATTTGATAGCCTTTTTTTTTTTTTTTTTTTAAGGTACCGGGAATCAAACTCACAACCTCATGCTTGCCAGGCAGGCACTGTGCCGCTCAGCTATATCCTAGCTCGATAGCCTTTTATTTTTATTTTTTATTTTGGCAGAACTGGGGATTGAACTCAGGCCCTTGAGCTTGCCAGGCAAGCACTTATTCTACTGAGCCATCTCCCTGGCCCCCTCGATAGCCTTATAGAGATGTGATGGATATTACTAGTAAAAGTCAGTGCAGATGTAGGTATGGTACTACACCCCTGTATCCCAGCACTCTGGGAGGTTGAGGCAGGATGATTTCAAATTATAGACCAATGGGATTTTCAACTCAAAATAACCCCATGGGGGGACTGGGAATATAGCTCAGTGGTATAGGCGCCTGCTTGGCAAGCTCAAGATCCTGAGTTCAATTCCCAGTACAAAAAAATAAATAAATAAAATAACTCTGTGGAATGGTTACTATTGTCAGCTCTTTGATAAGGAAGGAAACAGAAGTCCAGAGCAACCACATGACACAAGCACACCCAAGCAGCGTGCAAGTGGAGGCTACTCGAGCCCACCCAGTCCTTGAAGGCTGCTGCATCCTGCTAAGAAGAGCTGATTTACTGGTGGCTTTCAAGTCTTGGAAGAGAAAAGGGAAGAGACCGAGTTACAGGAAACAGGATGACTTCCACCCACTTTTTCACTAGGGAGGTTGCTGGCTAGAAGGGAAAAGCAGAATGATGGGCAAGAGCCTATACAGACTTCAGCTAGGGCGGCGTGGCACGTGCCGGCCATCCTGGTACCCTGGGAGGCTGAGGCAGAAGGATCGCGAGTTCAAGTCCTGCCTGGGCAATTTATCACCTTTGTATGACTCTGTCTCAAATTATAAAAGGGTTAGGAATCTGGCTCCAGGAAGGTGCTAGATTCATCCTGCAGTACCACATTCAAAAAAGAAAGAGGGACAGACAGAAAGACAGACAGGGAAAGATCAATGCAGTCCTGAGACTTTTTTTTTTTTTTTTTGAGAAACACTGGGGGCCAGGGAGATGGCTCAGTGGAACAGGGGCTTCCCTGGCAAGCACAAGGGCTTGAGTTCAATCCCCGGATCCACCACAGAGAGAGAGAGAGAGAGAGAGAGAGAGAGAGAGAGAGAGAGAGAGAGAGCGCGAGAGAGCGCGAGCGAGCGAGCGCGCGCGCGAGCTGTTTCCTGATCATTTGAAGTGGTGCTTAGCATGATCCAATGAAGTTTAAAAGTTACTTAAATTTTTTGTGGTAGAGGACTGAACCCAGGGCCTGTACACCGAGCTGTGTCTCTATTTTACTTTTTGAGGTAGGGTGTTGCTAAGTCACTACATTGTCCGGGCTGGGGTCAGGCATGCAACCTTGCCAGGGATGTTGCTCAGCAGCCCAGCGCCTGCCTGGAAAGTATGAGGGCCCAAATTTGATTCCTGGTTAAAAAAAAGAACCTTGCTGCCTCAGCCTCCTTGCAACGCTCAGATTATAAATGTGCAGCATGACACCAAAGGAGCTATTCCTTATAATAATGATATTAAGATTAGACTCAGCTGCAAACCACAGCAAATATAAAAATCAGGCCGGGGAGATGGCTCAGTAGAATAAATGCTTCCCTGGCAAGCTCAAGGGCCTGAGTTCAATCACCGGTTCTGCCAAGAAAATAAAATAAAATAAAAAAATCTTCATGACTTAAATGGGTTTTGTTTGCTTTTGAGACAGTCTTACAATGTAGCTTTGCAGTTTGGGCTGGCCTTGTGCTCACTTTTGCAGCCCTGAGGCTGGTCTGGAACTGAGTTCCTCCTGGCTCAACCTCCCCCGTGCTGGGATTTCAGGCCTGTGCCACCACACCTGGACTCAGGGCTGTACAGTGGGTGCCCACATTCGGGGCCAGAACCACAGGCACAGGGAGCCGGGGATCCAACGTGGGTCCTTGTGTTTGCCAGGCAGGTGCTTACGCCTCTGAACCATCTCTCAGGTCCCTACTATGCAGTTCCAGCTGGCTTTGACTTCACTGTGCAGCCCAGGCTGGCCTCAAGTATGCGGTGAGCCTGCGGCCGCAGCTTACTAAATACCAGGATCACCATTCCCGGCTTCATGGT